CAAAGGCCCCGGCGTAAAGAACCTAGGGATGTGGACGATACATGTAAACAGTGCCATTCATCAGTATTTTCCTACAACGCGCCCTAAAACTCCTATTTTTGTAATTAATGGTTGGACAGTGGCCCACCATTTACACGTGTGCTCTCTGGGGTAACCAGACATGGGTGTCGTTTCCAAATCTCTGTACTTGAAGGAGGACTCAGGATAGAAGTGATCACTCAGTCCCAAAAGGTTCGTGACCATCGTGGGCACAGGCGTGGCCTCGGTCACCTTCAGATGAGAGGCTGGGCAGCAAGGGGAACCGCAGTTACCAGCGCCTCCGTGTCCTTAGTCCATGAGGAGGTTTTAAAAGGTCTGCGTTAGAAAAAACAGCCACCTCTCAAATCGTTTTCTACATCAAAGCTGGACTATTGGGATGAACCTCTAACGCGTTTGTATGGGGTGGTCGGTGGGAACGCTGTGCGTAGAAAGCGTGGCTCTCGGTGCTTGTGAGACCAGGCGAGGAGGCAGGTCCGAGGAGCCGCCTGTGTGTGTGTGCGTGGGGGGGGGGGGGGCGCGGGGGGGCAGGGGCACGGACTCCACAGCAGTGGGTGGTCCTCCAATTCCTAGAGACCTTTTCAAATAAACATTAGCACCAGTTGGAGGTGAGTGCGTGCTTACAAACATCGTTCATGTTAGTGAATGAATGTATGAAGTTACAAACTATGCATTTTCAAAGAGTAGTGTTTATTTTGTGTTAAATCCAAGTAGACTCTTTTCTTAGAGACTTACCACAACCACAAAGTATTCCAGATGAACCTGAGCGCATGTTGCTAGGGGCGGTGGGACTCCCGTCTGTATTGTCCAGCCGGTGTATTAAGACGGTGCATTGAAACCTGAGGCTCTAAGCAAGTCCGGCCACTCAGTGACTCACTAGGAAATGGTTGGTATTTTAGGTCTTAAACAGAAAAGGGACGCGTTGGTTGTCACATGCGGTGCCCAGTTCTTTGAAGGTATGTGTTCCAGCAACAGGGATTAGCGACCCATCAGCATTGCACGGAGTGAGTGCGGATCGCGTTGGATAATTACAGAGTGGGTTGAGTCTGCTGTGGTTCTTTCTCCACCCAAGAAAACAATATCCATCAAAGGGTTTAGGTGGTACAGTTTCAACAAACAAAATATAAAAAGTATTGTCACTTAGGGTGGTGAACACGCAATACGATATACAGATGTTGTATTGTGGAATGGTACACCTGAAACCTATGTAATTAAACCAATGCCACCCCAATAAATTCTATAAAAAATATAATATTGCCCTGCAAAGCAAATCACTGATCTTTCTTCAAAATCGAGTGGAGATGACTACTTCTATTTTGGGGACGTTCATGTAGAATATGCACGTTTTTCCAGACCTCTTGTTATTTTGCATTCTCATGGAAACTTTTCCACTAATGACTTGCCTTGGTCCTTAATCAAGGCTGTACCCTGTTACTCGGCATGAAAACAGAAGCCCTTCCCTCCCTGCCGGGGCCGCTGTCTGTGTGTAAACTACGGGAAACGCGCTGTAACCTGTCCTCAGCCTGGACACGTGTGCTACCTGTTTAGAAGTCCTGGGGAATGTGTCTTCTTATATGGTTTTTAGCCAAATGCAGATGTTCTGATGCTACATTTCTGAATACCTAGCCGGCTGTCCACACAGCCTGTGGAGGTCTGCACTCCTTTTAGAGGCTGTCCCTCCGCCCCGCTCCTCGCCAGCTTTTGGCCCATTGTACATAGATTTGTTGAATGTCTAATGACGTTGTTTTTCTAAATGCTGTTCTCTACAACTTTTTTGAATGTTTTTTTGCTTTCCATCGTTTGGGACTTTGTGTGTGGGTTTTTAAAAATTTGTTTCCTAAATACTTAACACCAGGAAAAATATTTCAAATAAACTGGTGCTAATTGAAGTAGAAGGGAGATGGCAGAGTGAAGCTGGACAAGTGTTCGCACCTGTTAAACTAAGCTGCACGCGCCCGGGGCACAGCGGGCAGTCCCTGCGGGGGCATCGGGCGGCCACGCATGTTTACAGCTTCTGTGGCCCATTTGTGTGCTTGTCCCCCTCCCCCGCCCCCCCGGCGAGGATGGGCTAGGTTGGTCCTATGGAAGCATTTAAGTAGAAGTAAAGGTTTATAGTAAGAATCACGTTAGTAATAGTCGTCTGGTCTTCGGAGTCTACGTCTGTAACCCCTCATGTAACGAGGAGCTGGTGTTGCCAGGCTGGCCTGAGCGCGTTGGCTGCACCCACTGTGCGCGGGCTGCTGCGAGGGCTGCAGGGCACACTGAGCCAGAGCCCGGCGGCCACCAGACCAGCCTGACGTCCGCGGCGTCCACACACATGACTTTAAATGCACTTGTAACTGGTCAACTCTAGGAGGCCTGACTTCCACTTAATAAAAGGTTTTGTGTACCTGCTTCTCTTGGGGGCTGTTTATTTTAAAGGGCAACTAACTTACACCCAAGACAGCTCACTGGGGCTGAGCGGCTGAGGGGGTGAGGTTTTCACCTGGAGTGGCAAAAATCATTCACAACCACGTCTTCCCGTGTCCACTGCAAGGCCGGTAAGGTCAGCCGGGTGATCACAGCTCAAGCCCGTTCCCTGGTCACACTGTGCTGCTGGACCTGTGGTCCCAGGTGTGCAGACCCACCTGGCAGAGAGAAGGCACTGTCCCTCCAGGTGGCAAGCCGGCCTGGAGATGCCCCCAGGCCAGGGTGACGCCCACTAGCGCCCAAGGTCCTCACCTGCCAAAGCCCAGCAGGCCCTGCAGCACGGCAGCAGGTCAGACGAGGCACACCCGGCTTTGCCTCTTGCGAGAGAGGTAGCCGGGCAAGTGGTCCAACCTTGATGGATCGTGTCTTTTAATGGGAATGATCAGGAGAGGGCGGAGCGCATTAGTCTGGCTGGACAGCGTCTTTAGTCCTCCTCCCATCAGCCTCAGCTGGGGTGGGGAGGACGCGGACTCGCCCTATGGCCTGGGTCAGAGACGTTCCTGTGCCCGGGGCTGTTGTGGGAATTGCTGGAAATAGCACGTCACCATGACAGAGAAGTACTCCCCCAGCCCCTGGGGCCCTCCAATGTCCAGAATGAGTGCCTTCAAATCGCAGGACTTTCTCCCTTCCGTTTTATACTAGGATGGCCTGCCGCTTACACACCACACCCGAATGTGTTCTTGGCGACTCCTGGCCACGGCGATATCACCCACTAATAGACCGAGCAGCGGGACGTTTATAGCTCAGCCTATGTGAGGACTGGAGGCTGATGCAGTGGCACCCGCAGCCTTCTCCCACCTCGCCCCCAGCCCAGCCCAGCCCCGGCCGGCCACCTCCATGACCTCCTTCTATTCAGCACAGGGGCCTGGAGCCCTTTGACCCTTCGTGAGGCACCGTGGGACGGAGGACAGATGACCTTGGTTCCTATGTGCTGGGCCGTGCACCGGGGCTGGGTCATCTCGTTCAGTCCCACAGCAGCTCCAGTCTTACATGGTTGGTAGCAAGTAGTGATCCCACTCAAACCAGATAAAGCAAACGCACGTGCGGGTCATTGAAAGCACGTGTCTTGCAGGACCCCACGTCAGATAATGTTGCCAGGCCTTGTGGAGTTCTAGAACCAAGATCTGCAAATAAGACAACCTCCCGCCACTGCCCAGCCCCGCCCTGCCTCCCAGGCTGCGGGCCAGGTCCTCTGCCTCCCTGTGAATCGTTTTCCTGCTCACTCTGCGGGGCTGCCCCTGCTTCTCCAGCCCGTGGTGGACAATGGCCGGAGAGGCCCACAGTGAACTCAGCGCGGGCGGTCAAGGGAGGTTGAGAATCCTGGCGCACTGATTCCAAACTCAGGCCCCTGCTCCATCAGCCAGGCAGTGGGGAGGGGTGGGCCAGGGGTCCCGTGGGAGGCATGTTGCTTTTAGCCACAACATCATAGCATATGCGTAAATATTTCTGAATGCTTCCATCTCAGTGGCTGTATAATAACAGCTTGTAGATACACATGATTTCCTGAAATGGTCCCTTCTGTGGAAAAGAGAGGCTGTGTCCCATTTTAATCGCTTCTAAGCTCTTGCTACAGATTGCCAAATTACTGTCCAAATAATTCGGCTCAATTTGCTCCCCTAACAACAAAGTGTATGAGTGTCTTGCTGTGTGTTCACCTGAAATGAGTTTTATCATTTTTTAACTCTTCCCTAAGTTGATAGGCATTCCTAGCTTGTTTATATTTCCTGAATACCAGCTAATGATACCAAGCATTTTTCTGTCAACCACTGATACGTTCTACTTAGAACCATCTATTCCTGTCCTTTGCTCACTTATCTTTTGAGATATTAACTCGTTCTCATGTATTAGGAGTTCTTTATTTGCCAGCTTCTGACTCACTTGCTGGAATAGTTTTCCCAATCTATGTGCATCTTAAATTCAGTCATGAGACATTTTTGCATGCAGATTTTTAAATCTTTGTATCATTACATCTGTCCATGTTTTCCTTTAAAATGTCACATCTTACACTCCTCACATTCAATATGAAAACATTCCCTTGTATTTTCTTTCCACTTTTATTTACACAAAATTTACATAAATTTTTCAATTACAGTTGACATTTTTTATTATTATCTAGAACATGTTGGTATAGGAAAAGCTGGAATATACTTTTCCTCCCCAAACATCTGGCTAATTGTCCCAGTCTCCCTAATGTTGACCTCAGCCAGTCTTCCAGGTTTGCAAGGCCATTCATCACTGAACTGTTGGGATAGTAGCATCTTCTCCAAGTCCTTCGTTCCTGATTAAACTCATTCATCCAAGTTCTCTCCCGTCCTTTTCCTGTGGGCTCTGGGCCCTGGTCGGCCAGGGGATGGGGAGCACAGTCCCGGGCCCACCAAGTCCCGCGCTGTCTTCGGCTGAGGTCCACGTCATTCCATCTGGCCTTTGCACTTCCCGCCACTATCACCCCATCATCCACTCTTTTTTTCCTTTTATAAATTTTTCAATTACAGCTGACATTCAGTATTATATTAGTTGCAGGTGTACAGCACAGTGGTTAGGCATTTACATAGTTTACAAAGCCTCCCCCCAAAGTCATCCAGCTGAGTGTTCCCTGGAATGCAGTGGGCACTCGTTTATAACTTCAGGCCCAGCGTTTGGATTCTTTGTGTGTTTTTGACTCTTTTTTGGGTGGTGGTGGTGGTGGTGAGATTGCTTAAGATCTGCTCTCTTCCCAAATTTCAAGTATATAACAATACAGTAGTGCCTCCCCATTCCCTCCACCTGCTGGCCCTGTGCCCACCATTCTCCTCTCCACCTTCTGTTTCTATAGCTTGCTTTTTTTTTTTTTACATTCCTCATATAAGTGAGATCACACAGTATTTGTCTTTCTGTCTAGCTTATCTTCCTTCGAATGGTGCCCTCCATCCATGTTGTCACAGTGGCAGGCTTGCTTTCTTTCTCGTGGTTGGTGCTGTCTCACTGTGTGTATGCAGCAGGCCTTCTTCACCCCCTCACCCCTCACCAGACACAAGGTCACTTCCCGTGCTGTCTGTTATGAATCCTGCTGCATGAACATGGGAGGGCAGCTCTCTCTTCATGACACTGGTTTCACATCCTTCGGAATTACACTCCAAAGTGGGGCTGCTAGATCACATGGTAATTCTATTTGTAGTTGTTTGGAAAACTCCCTTCCGTGTTCCATGGCGGCTGCACCAACTTACGTTCCCAGCAGCACCCCCACCAGCCGTGCTGTCTCCTGTCTGTTTGACAACAGCCACTCCAGTGTGCGAGGTGAGGTCTCACTGTGGCCTGATTGGCATGTCCCTGGTGATTCATGATGTCGAGCACCTTTCATACACCTGCTGACCATTGGTCTGACTTCTTTGGGAAAATGTCTCATCAGGTCCTTTGCCCATTTTTTAATTGGATTATCAGGGGGAGGAGTGTTTGTTTCTTATGTGTGTTTTTTTTAAGTCCTACCTGGGACTCAACATGATTTCTCGCTGAGCAGGGCTGCCAATGAGAACTGGGCATTATCACCACATCAGTCCTTAACCCAAGGACGAGAGCCAGGGAGCTTTGCCGAAGGAAAAAGTTCTGCCCAGGGTTGCACGGCAGCCACCACGTAAATAGGCGGTGAACCTGCTCAGATGGGAGGTCTCCGTCGCAGGGCAGAGAGGAGAGCCTGAGGACAGACAGGTGGGTGCGATGCCCTAAACATCAAGAACCGCCTTTCCTGTCACAGTCCCAGCAGGGCTGCCGGGTCCCAGCAGGGGTGCCCAGATGTCACCGTTCAACAAGCCCAAAGCTGTGCCTTCTCACCAGGCAGCCAGAGCCATTCCTGGTTCGCCCAGCCCACCGGCAGCCCACCAGCCACGGGCAGGCTTCCCAGACGCTGTGTTGCCTGGTAACCCAGCCAGCATTCATTCCATCCAGTTTCCAGGCCACAGAGCCTGAGAGTTAACTCAAGGTCTGCTTTTTTGGTTTTTTTACAGAAAGCAGGAGAAAATGCTTTGTTAACCTTCACTCACGCATCCCATTCCTGACCCCTCTGAGCTCCCAAAAGCTTATCAGAAGCCACCAGTGAGCGACCTCGGATGCCCCTAAACTCAGTGTGTACAAGACCCAGGTAACTTCCCCGGCTCCGCCCCGCCCCTCCCCGGGGTGCCTTCCACTCCTGTTGGATGACACAGGCGCCACGCTCCGATTGTCCAAGCACAGCCGTCCTCCATGGCTTTCCACCCCAGGACAGTCAGTCTTGGGAATCTAGACATCTACGTTCGTCTGGTCCCTTCCACACGTGCTCATTTAGACCAGGCATTCGTCACTCTCACAGGCCACGGTTACCAGTGCCCACAGCGTTGTCTGTGAGTCCACCTCTCTTAATACACAGCCTTCCAGGAAGGCCTGGGGCGAGGGCAGTGAGGAAGGCCGCCACCGCTGCGTGGAGCACGAGCCTCTGTGAGCGCCGTGTTTGGCTTCTGAAGGTCCCTGCGTGCCTGCTGTCCCAGAGCGGCCCGTCAGCAGTAATGGCGTTCTGACACCCGCCAACCAAAGGCACAGCTCACTGCTGACGACAAGTCAACGAGCGGGGACAACCCACAGGCCGGAAGGATGCCCGGCTTTTGCAGTGAACTTCAAGTCCCCGGGGCTAAGAAAAGCACTAGACCCGCCGATCCAATGTGCTCTTCCCATTGTTGGTTTTTTGGGGGATAAACAAAACCAATTCCTCAATGAACTCTGCCCCTCTCTCCTCCCCTGCCCCGCCTGGCCAGCAGCAGGCCGGCATGGCAGCCAGCGAATCCCAGAACGGCCATGAAACACGTAGTGTGTTGATCATTCCCTCTCTCTCTCTCTGACACCGAGGCAAAGGAGAAAGAAAAAAGGTGAATTTGCTACCATGGAAAAATAAAATTGAAAAAGTTAAGCAATAAGATATGAAAGATTTCCAAGGTGCATTGTTGAACAACAACAATTTTAAAAAGCAGGATATAGCCCTAGCCAGCTTGGCTCAGTGGATAGAGTGTCGGCCTGTGGACTGAAGGGTCTCGGGTTCCATTTTGGTTAAAGGCACATTCCTGGGGTTGCGGGCTAGATCCCCAGTAAGGTGTATGCAGGAGGCAGCCGATCAATGATTCTCTTCATTGATGTTTCTGTCTCTCTGTCCCTCTCCCTCCCTCTCTGAAATCAATAAAAATATTTTTTTCAAAATCAAACAAAGAATGCATAAATAAGTGGAACAGCAAATTGATGTCTCTCTCTCAAACCAATAAATACATTAGGGAAAATAAATAAATAAATAAATAAGCGAGCAGGACATAGGCTAGTGCCTGGATCGCTGCTCCTGTTTGTATGAAAATGCGTGGGTGAGACGTCGTCACTGGCTACCTCTGGAGAGCCTGGCATGTGGGGTCGGAAAGCCGTTTTGATCATGCATCGTATTTCGGCTTGTTTACTGCATGCATGTATTTCCTTAATGTTTTAGATTGTAGATACACAGATAAAGGATGAGCAACACCACAAGTCCAGAAATAACTGTATAGCAAATAAACAGAGGAGAAACCAACATTTACAGACTGACGTCTATGAGGCGGCAGGTGTCTGTCCTGCTACCTCCCCCCACTGCGCCCAGGTGTGGCTGTGACGTTTCTGCCCCTGCAACCCAGCCTGCAGCCTCGCTTCCTGCTGTTCGCCCACCTCAGGCAAACCCCAGCGGCCCTGACCCGCAGGAGCTCCTACTGGACGGAAGGCAGCCAAATTTGGACGGTTTCAGGGAGAACGTCGGGTGTTGGAGACGGAGATAAAACAGCCAGACTCCTGTCTAGCAAACCGATGTGATCGCCCGGGGTGTAAAGAACTGCCTACACTGTCTCAGCGCTTTGCACACCCTTTCCGACTCAGGGTACGCTGCTTTCAGGGCGACTTGCCCGGGTAGGAGGCCAAGCATGCGGAGCCTCCTTGAGTTGGGCTGATGAAAACAAGATAAATACTTCTGACTGTTTTCATTGTTAATAAAACAAATTAAACATCAGTGATGTCTACCAATTACACTGTTGAGGTAGATTCCTATCAAACCCTTATCAAATGCTGCCCTCCAGTGGACTATTCAGTAAAACCTGTTAAAAATAGATTTCCAGCCCCCCCCCCCCCCCCACACACACACACACACCACCACCCCCCCAGGTGGCTTAGTTGGTTGAATATCATCCGTGCACTGAAAAGTTGCTGGTTTGATTCCCACAAATACCTCTCCAAAAATCATGCAAATGCCCCCAAAATGTTTAAATGCATACTGATTCATAAAAGTTGCTTCTAGAACTGTGTAGATTTGTACAATCATTTAAAAATCAGATGTCAGCAGCCCTGCTCTGGGTTTTAGGATGGTTAAGGCAGAGCTTAAAAGAGGAGTAACTTTTACAGTGTAAGGGCATTTTAGCAAGAGAGCAGTGGCCCGCCGGGGCTTGGTGTCCTTGCTCTGGACCTATGGGCTCCCTCTTGGAAGCCTCTCAGTTTAACAGAACCCAGGACACACACACACACACACACACACACACACACACGCTGCCAAGTTCTCTGAGCTTTAAAAAGTGCTCTTCCCAGCCAGGTCACATTTGCGTTCACCGTATACTTTCCCCCTTGAGAAGTCGGAGCGATTCTTAGCCTGCTCCCTGCGGGTGGGGGAGAGAAGCAGCGGGGCCAGCATCCTTCCAGGGCCTGGGCCCAATCCCTGCCTCTGGCCCCGCTGTGCCCTGTCATCCATCACCGCTTTGACATCCACCCATAAAGATGGTTAGAAAATACATTTAAACTCTCAGCGCCTGCGGGTCTCACAGTGGCCCGACTCCTCCTACCTTTCCAAGCGCGGGACCCAGCCCTGCGGCCCCGAACAGCCTGCCTGCTGGTCCCTTTGCTTGCCGCGGCCTTTGCTGGCCCCGGTGAGGCGGGCTGGCTGATGAGGTCACCCTCGCCGGAGCGGCCTCTGGGTCGGGCCGGGGGTGAGAACTCAGCTGAGCTCCGCCGGTCCCCAAGGTCACCTTGACAGCCTCATGCCCGCCCAGCTACCCGGCTTCACACTCCTAATTCGGCTTCCTCTCCCCCCTTGGCGGGCCCCGCGCTCACCAGGGTGCCTGTTTAAAATGACAAAAGCAGGAGTAAATGCCACAGGAGCGCCCCGCTGCTCGGCAAGCTGGATTTTCACATCCGAGAGCTACGGCGGGAATCGCTTGGAGAGAATTAAAGTTCCTGCTCAACCCCGTCACCCACCCTCCCAGCCCGGGCTTCCCGCGTGTCACACTCAGCGCCCGGAGCACCGCCTCTCCTACGCTCTCTCTCCGCTTCGGCCCCCCACCCCTCACCGTCCCGGCTTCTCCCTGGGTCCGAGTTCCCTGGGCCTCTCCCCAGGGAGGCGCCTCCGCTGCAATGTCTCCCTCACTGTCTCAGACTTTTCCAAATGCCCGATCCGTTCCTTCCCCTGCTCACGTCTGCTCGCTGGGAGAATCTCACCCCGGGCGGGGGAGGGGGGTGTCCGCGTGCCAGCAGCCTTCCTGTTTCCCACACTAACGCGCGTGGTGAGACAGCGCGGCCTTTTAGAGGCTTCGTGGGTGAAGGCTACTTCCCATGGTTTCTGCTTAACCAGAAAGAGAGAGAGAGCCAGCCACCGAGAAATGGACGCGGGAACCCAGCTCCCGCTGCAGCGGGCAGGCTGGCCGCACAGCGGGCGGCGCAGAGGGAGTGGGGAGCCCTTTCCCCGGTTACTAGGACGCTCAGGGCCCGCAGAGGACACTGTGCCGAGCGTGGGCCCCCTGAGCCCAAGGCTGCGGCGACACCAGGCAAGGCTTTTACCTGGAAGGTGAACTATAGAGGAGGAAGCATATTTAAAAGCATCTTGGCTACGGGAAGCAAGTCCTTGAGGGGAGGGGTGAGGGGCTCCAAGAGGAGGGGCTCCCAGTGCGCCTCTGGGAGGAGACCAATACCCGAAGGGCTGGCGCAGGGGAGGGCAGACGGCCCCTGTGCCCTGAGAAGGGGTGTGGGGCGGTATCCAGTGGCTTCCACTTTCTTGGTGAAGAAGATGAAGAACGCTGCCTGCAGCATGGATGTCAGGGGAGCGAGAAGGAATCATGAACCTGCTGGGCGCACCCCATATCCGGGAACACACTTGAGACGTCAGTCCCAGCATCACCTGGGATTTGTTAGGGACACCAATGCCTGGCCTCACCCCAGCACTGAATCAGAAATGAGGCCCGGCCACCTGTTTCCACATCCCTCTGGGGGTCCGGATACTCCTGAGCTGTGGCTGACACTCCTCCGTTTCCCTCCACGCCATCCCACACCCGTGTCCACAGGCAAGACTGACAGATCGTCAGGACCCGGGGAGGGAGAGCTGTGCGTGGTCGGCAACAGACTGCCGTCTCCCTCTCCTGGTGCCACGGTCAGGGATGGTTGGGAGGGAGGCAGGGTGGCACACCGCTCTCATTAACCGATGACGGAGGGCTGGACGGGCAGAGGCACTGGGTGAGGGCAGCAGTGCCCGGAGACCAGAGTGAGAGTGCAAACCTATCAACAGAAACTTTATAGGGACAGTCATTAGGATTAGATTCCGCTTCGAGTGACAGGAACCCAAAATAGCATTGGCTCAGACAGAGGGAAATGCATTTCTCATTCCCAGAAACAAAGTCTGGAAGTGTCGGGCCACAGCCAGTGTGCTGGCTCTGCTGCCCCGATTCCCAGGACCCAAGCTCCCCATCCACCTCGATTCCGCAGGTGTGGCCTCATCGAGTGGAAAATGATGACATCCGCGTTTCGGATGGCCACATCGAGGGAGGACTGAGAAAAGGGCCAGTTCTTGCTGTCCTTTAAGGTTTCTCGATGCTACCCCCTGCTCTTCCTGCTTGTATCCTATTGACCAACACTTCATCTTATGGCCACAGCTACAGTGGAAGTTAAGAATGTAGTCTATTTGCCTAGGCAGCTCAGCTAGCTATTACATAGAGGAAAGCAAGAGCAAATACTGGGACACAGTGAGCCGCCCCTGCCAACCAAAGCAAAATCCAAGTCCCTTACACAGGGCCTGAGGCTTTGGTGGAAAAGAGCGGGGTGAGAAGTTATAGCCCTGCACATAGCCCTCTGCTCACTCCCTTTACAAAGGAAAAAGCCCAAGCCGTCTGGCTGAAGCAAAAAGAGAAGGTGTGGGGAGTATCTCAGAGGATGCCATCAGCCTGGAATCTTCTCCATGTGTCAGCTCGCAGCTCATACTGGCTTTATTTCTATGCCTCATGGTAAGAGGGCCCCTAGGCCCAGGGCCCTAGTCCCTAATCCTGCTGGTGGGCCCGGCGAGGTCTGAGTTCAGTTGTCCCCACCCTCAGCCCCGCTTGTTTCTCAGATCAGTCTCCTCTAGCCAAGTGGTTCCCAGCCCTGGCTACTCACTGAGTCCCCTCAGAAGATTTTTACTAGTAAATTCCTGATGCCAGGGCCTCTCTTCCTAAAGCTGATTTGGTTGGGCAGGGCCGGGCTCCGGCATGTGAAAGCCCCCCGGGTGACTCTCCTGAGCACCCCCGGAGACGAGCCCTGAGGGAGACGCTGTGGGTGAGTAGCAGCTTCTCTGGAGTCACCGCCCCGGATGCTGTCATTGGGTGGCACGTGCCTCCCCGACTGGGTCCTCTGGTGCAAGGGGCCCCTCCTTGTCCCGCTGGTCACACCTGGACCTCCACACCTGTGCTCCTGGTGAGTCCAGCTCTCCCTGTGGATCCCAGGCTCTCTTCCTGTCTCCCAGGATCTCCGTATCTGCCTGTCGGGGTTGGTTTTGTTGTTGAAGGACTGGGTGTGATTTCAAAAGGAAAATATATGAACTCTGACAGCCACTGCACTGCTGCTTGTGTGCATGAGCTTGTGTTCTATCCCACATATGAATGAAATTGCATGGTTCTTAGCTTTTTCTGCCTGACTTTCTCAATAGCTTCATCTTCTCAAGGTCCATCCATGTTATCACAAATGACAATATTTCATCCTTCTTTCTGGCTGAGCAGTATCCCATTGTATGCATGTACACATCTTCTTTATGCAACCATCTATCACAGGACACTGGTGGTTTCCATGTCTTGGCCACCATGAGTAATGCTGCAATAAACATTGGGGTGCATATATCTCTGGGAATACATGTTTTCTAGGTCTCAGATATATGCCCAGGAGAAGGATTGCTAGGTCATACAGTAATTCTATTCTTAATTTTTTTTAAATATATTTTACAGAGAAGAAGGGAGAGGGAGAGTGATAGAGAGTTAGAAACTTCGATGAGAGAAGAGAAACATCGATTCAGCTGCCTCCTGCACACCCCCGACTGGGATGTGCCCACAACCAAGGTACATGCCCTTGACTGGAATCAAACCTGGGACCCTTCGGTCCACAAGCCGACGCTCTATCCACTGAGCCAAACCGGTTCAGGCCTTTTCTTAAATTTTTGAGGAATTGCCAGCCTGCTTTCCATAGCGGCTGCACCAGCCTGCATTCCCACCAGCAGTGATGCGGCTTCCCTTTTCTCCACAACCTCTCCAACCTTTGTTCCTACTTGTCTTGTTGATAATAGGCATTCTAACAGGTGTGAGATGGTATCTCATTGTAGTTTTGCATTTCCCTAATTGCTAGCGAGGTTGAACATCTTTTCATGTATCCGTTGGCTGTTTGTCTTCTTGAGAGAGATGTATTTTCAGATCCTCTGCCCATTTTTTTATAATTGGGCTGCTTGTTTGTTCGGTGTTGAGTTTTATGAGTTCTTTATATTTTTGGATATTAAAATCTTTGTCAGCACTATTGTTTGCAAGTATCACCTCCCATTCAGTCGGCTGCCTATTTGTTTTGTTCTCAGTTTCTTTTGCTGTGCAGAAGTCTTTTAGTTTGATATAGTCCAGTTCGTTTATTTTTGCCTTTACTTCTCGTGCCTTCTGGGTCAAGTTCATAAAATGTTCTCTACAGCGAAGGTCCATAAGGTTGGTACCTGTATTTTCTTCTATGTAACTTTTTGTTTCGGGTCTTATATGTAGGTCTTTGATCCA